CGTCTGTGTGTAAAAGCTTCTGTGTGTAAAAAGAGTCTGCTGTTAAAGCGGTCGTGTTGTGTTGTAAAAAAGTGGTTGTGTGTAAAAGGTTTGTGGGTAAAAGCCTCTGTGTGGAAAAGCGTCTGTGTGTAAAAGACTGTGTGCAAAAGCGCCTGTGTGTAAAAGCGTCTGCGTGTGAAAGATTGTTGTGTAAAAGCCTCTGTGTGTAAAAGCGTCTGTGTGTAAAAGCGTCTGTGTGTAAAAGCGTCTGTGTGTAAAAGCGTCTGTGTGTAAAGTAAAAGCGTCTGTGTGTAAAGTAAAAGCGTCTGTGTGTAAAAGCGTCTGTGTGTAAAAGCGTCTGTGTGTAAAAGGCTCTGTGTGTAAAAGCGTCTGTGTGTAAAAGTGTCTGTGTGTAAAAGAGCCTATGTGTAACAAGCGTCTGTGTGTAAAAGCGTCTGTGTGTAAAAGCGTCTGTGTGTAAAAGCGTCTGTGTGTAAAAAGCGTGTCTCCATACTAACAACAGAAGACTCTGCTCCTCTACGCTCTCGGGCCATCCGTCGTCTAGTTAATATAATTAACCACGCCAGGCAGTGAGAACATAGAAGCGGCTTCATCGGTGATTTCTACTACGATGTGGGGCTCTTGTTTTCAAGTGCGTATGGTTATGTTTTGTTCAGGGTTTGTTTGAATCTTTGTTCCTTGGCAGAAAAGACAATGAGGCCACTTCACCATGCAGAGCCGCTTCAAAAAAATCGGACAAAGGCCCGATTTTCAAAACAATTGGTTTGCAGTCTCCGAGTTGCAGATTTTACAAGCCATTGGCTTCGAGTCATTCCGTTGTACCTTCCGTGCAGGAGCTGAATCTTGGACCGTACAAGAATCTGAATGAAATGTGGCGGAGCCGACTCAGCCGAGAAAAATGTGCGATGGATAATGTATCCTTTGAGAAAATCTCATGCAGTTGTCAGAGATCGTTGGGCTTGATGTGCATTTGTAGCAGTAAAAGTATTCAGAAAACATATTCGCAACATTTATGCATGGCGCAAGTGGGCATCCAGAACTGGATACGCTGCCCATCAACGCATGTTAAGACATTCGCAGCTGCCGCAGCCACCTTCCCACAGTGCTCAGAATGTAGCTCCGTAAAATCTTCAGCCAACTGGATATCCTTCAAAGGATTGTGATTGTGCCAATGATTGTGTCAAAAGACAGCGCTCACCTCAAAGCCTCTGACTTGTGTGTATGAAACTCATTTGATTGACTTCCAACATTTGACATCGAAGTTTCGTTGTTCTAGGATTTCCTTTCTTTCAATTGGGCATCAGTCTGATTTTCATCCATTGGAGGTTTCTTGGATCAGATTGCGCTGATGTGGTACAGCCACTGCCACCTCAATTGGGTCCGCCCAAAAGCTCTTTTTGTTTTCCAACCCAGCCAGATCCTTAGCAATCCATTTTCATAAGTTGTCCATAGTGGAACTACGTGTTCATGAAGAGAAGGTTATCTTGCAAGTTGCATTGTATTATTATCATCTTGTTTGATTAAAGATAAGCTTCAAGCTATGGAAGTCTTTTATCAGGCTGGTGCCTCCAGGCAGAAATGTTCAACCGCAGGCCTTAACCTTACGTCTTTTTTTTTGCATGATGATTCAGCCACGTCGCCGTCAGATGCATTGACAGAGAGGTGTCCAGACCAGACCACCTTGGAGAATCGCATGAGCAGCCTCCTCAGCCATGGTTCAAGTCCAACACAAGGTGGATTTTTTTGAATTAGAAAAACTGTTCTTCCACAGTAAAATCATTCAACAGGTTCTTCAGCGCTTCCACACGTGTAAGTGGCCAGCAGCAAGGCCAAAGAGTTTTCCAATGTTCAGCAAATTTCTGCCATTGTAAAGTGTGATTTTATTCATATCATGAGCCACGCCAGGCCGTGAGACCACAGAAGTTGCTTCATTGGGAATTTCTACGTCGTGGGGCTCTTGTTTTCAAGTGCGTATGGTTTTGTTTTGTTCAGCGTTTGTTTGAATCTTTGTTCAGTGCTTGGCAGAAAAGACAATGAGGCCACTTCACCATGCAGAGCCGCTTCAAAAAAATCAGACAAAGGCCCGATCTTCAAAACAAGTGTTTTGCAGTTTTGCAGTCTCACAGTCAGAGATTTCATAAACCAATGGCTTAAAGTCATTCCGTTGTGCGTTCCCTGCAGGACCTTGATCTTGGACCTTACAAGAATTTGAACGAGATGTGGCTGAGCCGACTCAGCTGAAAAAATCTTTGCGCGATGGATCATGTATATTTGAAGACAATTTCGTGCAGTTGTCAGCATTAGTTGGCTTTGATGTGCATTTGTATCAGTAAAAATCATTAGAAAACACATTTGCGATGTGTATATATGTTTTTTTGATAAAAATTAATCAAAAATCATCAAAAACTCATTGTTAAATTCATTTTTTTGTACTTTTTGGTATTGTTTTTAAAAGTTTTTCTATATATATATATATATGTATATGAATATGATTAATTTACATTTCCTCGATTGTTCTCGATCTTGCCTCGATCTTGGCTCGATCTTGCCTCGAGCCTCGATCTTGCCTCGATCTTGCCTCGAGCCTCGATCTTGCCCCGATCTTGCCTCGGCCGTTCATGCATCGGTTCTTCAAGAATGTAATTTAATGTAAATATATACAATTTCATCAAAAATCAGTCAATTTTGTCTTAAATTATTCAAAATTTGTAAAATATGTATGATTTTTTCCGTTTTTTTTCATAAATAAACACGTTTTTTTTTGAATTTGTATGCAGTCAGTGATGTTTCTTTCTGTTTTAGTGAGTGCATAGACATTTGTGAAAACTTTCATTCGTGATTTGTGGATGTTCAAGACTCACCAGGGATTACAACTTCTTCGAGGATGGCTCATGGAGGTCCATCAAGTTGGCATGAATTCTTTTCATGGCCGGCGCAGACTCTGCAGAGGTGGCGCCAGATGATAGCAGTTCGACGGGTACCAGACATGGTGTTCACCTCAACCTTCTCTGGTTTAGGTACAGCTGAGATGGCAGCAACAATGGCTCATCGGGAGATGACAAGTTTCTTCCGACCGCCATCTGTGACCCACTACTCTGCGTGTGATTCAGAGGTGAGCTGCCAGTCCATTTTGTGCAAGATGGATTGTTGCCATGTGTTTCGTGATGTGAAGGAGTGTTTTGATAGCACAGTGATGCAGCTATTGACGGAATATGTGCCTGAGCGCCATGAAGAGGTTCAGCAAATCACAGACAAGGTTTCTAGGAAAGCACGAATCCTTTCTGCCGGAAAGGAAGTGTGCAGATTTGCAGCGGATCTACTGAGTAGCCATCCGCCCCAAGAGACTGCATATTGTGTGAAGTGCAACAAAATGCGCAGAAGATTTCCATGCAAGAAGATGTTGGATAGTTATTCCATTTGGGTTGAAGGTGGTTCTGGCAGCCCTTGCTACCCATGGACTCCAGCTGCCTATGGAAGTCAGTTGAGGTGGCTGCACCCGGAAGTCAGTCCTGTTTACTTTGCATGGCTCTTCAGCTTGCTCAATGCCGAGCCCAGTCCAGATGCAATTCTGCATGATGAAGGAGCTTGTTGGTAGCAAGTATACCCTGGAGACAATGGTTGTCTCTCCAGAAGATTGCGGGCTACCTGTAGCCCGACCACGCCGCTTTACAGCTTCTTGGACAAGACAAGAGAACTTGCCTACCATGAACTACCATGTGTTTGAGATTTGAGATTGTTTGGTAGGCCAAAAGGATGTACATTTGGACCTTTAATAAAGGGCCTAAATGCACACCTGTTTCTTGGGACTATCAGGGTTTTGGAGATACGATGGAACCACAATTTTGTAGCCAGAGGTTGCCAAATAGCAGGCTAGGATGGGCATTCCATAATACATCTCCACGAACCCAACGTATTTTACTTTGATTTCATGGTGCATTGTCCACATGTCGTAGACAATTGAAGATGTGAACGCTTTTTGCCCAAGGTGATGCTGCTCAAACACCATCAGAAGATGATGCCTTTCGATCGTCATTTGTGGAGTGCGACTTGCCTTGCTTCAGTTCAATGCGATGCATCTGCTTTCCTGAACGCCGATGAAGAAGTGCTGCAGAAGGATAAAGAACGATTGTCTGTCAAGAAGTTTTTGCCTGCTCAGGATGCTCACCGCTGGTCTTGGAATACTTTGCTCACCGGACGAGAGAGTAGGTTGGTCCAGGATCGAAGAAACCAGGTTAGGCAGATGTCTAGTCATTTGAGACCCAAGATTTGGTTCAACAACACGTCCCAGAATTTGGAGTGCCAGCCGAGATTGTCACTTGAGCTCCGCAGTCCAACTTTGATGACAAGCACAAAGCTTTTTGTTGATTACTTGGACAGCCCGTATGATGCCCGACCAGTCCATGCTTTGGAGCTCTTGGCAATGCAAGCATTGCCTCTCTTTCTGCCACCTCCCAATGACTGGTATCAAAAGATCATTTGAATTCTGGCCTTGCGGATCGTTCTTTGCGAAAGATGGCCGGCAATGGAATGAACCTGTGGGTAGTTGGCCAATGTTTGATTTTGATTTTGGGAACTGTTGCTTGGGAACCCAAGCGTCCAAATTTGAAACGAAAACTTGCCATGCTGATGCATGATGCAGAGCAGTCCGGCAAGGACAATCCCTGCAGTGACTCTGATGTAGAACCAGAAGCTGGTTAGATTTGAAATGCGTTTCGCTAGGACCTTCTTTGTTGACGCTTGCAAACAGTCAGTTCAAGCCTTTAATTAACATGTGGATGATTCGGTTGATTTCTCAGCCACAAGAAAAAAGTGCACATGCGACTCTGTGTGAGCAATGGTGATTTGATTCCTCCCAGTGTCATGTATGTGTTGGACATGGTTCCCCTCATTCTCCTCTGTTTCATCCCTGATTCTTTCTTGATTTGCAGTCAACGTTTTCACCTTGTTGCAAATTGCAACTTTTTCCTCGAGACCCAGACACACGCAGAGTTTTTTTTTGCATGTGCTCCCTTGCAGACAGCTTGGACCGAAGCAGTTTGGAGATGAGTGAAGATGCGTTTGCTGAGAATGCTGAGAATCTCGAGACTCAGGACAGCCAAGAAGCGCCAGAGACCATGGATCAGAAAGCAGAATGTTCCCCAGCGGAGGTGGCAAATCTAGATCCTGACAAGGATCAGGCCAAGCACCCCACTGACGAGGAAGTTCCTGATCCTGAGCCGCCCTTGAAGAAACAGAAAATGGATTCAGAATCCCCGCAAGTAGATGCAGAGCTTTCTTTGGTTCTGGAGTCAGATGCTGGTATGATCTCTCCTAGTGAGGTTGGTTCACCTTCGGGCATGCCGCCGCCTCCGCCCCCGAAAAGCAGAGGCAAGGGTAAGAAGGGCAAGGGTGGCAAGATGCATGACAAGAACCATTCAGCTTCTGATGCCCCTTTGTCACAAGCACTGGTTCTTGCGTCTGAACTTTCAGATGAGATTGCACCTTCCGTGACGTCGACAACAAGCAGGACCAAAGGTCAAGGAAAAGGCCAAAAGAAAGCCAGCAAAACCAACTCTAGATACTGCAAAGGTGATGGCTTCTACTACAGCCCTGAAGACATGGCACCCAAGAGCGCATTCTGCTTCAGATGCAAGTACTGCATGGATGTGCTGACAAAGTTGGCAAAATCTGAGAGACGTCCTGAATGGATTTCAGAGATCAAGTCCAATGAGAAAGTTCTTCAGAACATCATCCGCAAGTACAAAGAGCAGACAGGAGATGGCATTGCTCGGAAAAGGAATTTCAAAGGTAAATTGATGTCCACTCTCCAGGAGACCGCTGCCAAGTCCAGAGTTCTCTATAACACAGAGATGGAAATGATGACAGAAGATGCCTGGCAGCAGTTCGCTATGACGGAGGCTGGCGGCAGATTGTCCAAGGCAGCAGCGACTGCCCAATGGGCAGAGTGGAAGTGCCAGGTGGAATCTGAGGATGCTCCCGAAGATCTCATTTTCGACTACAAGCGTGGACTCCGAATCGCCGTTGCCACCAAAGACACGGTCCACTTCCAGTCTGATTCTCGGCTTGATGAGGTATTTGTTGTAGTCTCTACTGCCCAACACATTTGGCATTTTTTATAATCTGATAAGTTTATGTTTCTTGAAAGTTCTTGACGGTTCATGAAAGCGTGCAGAATTTCAAAAATGTATGATCACTGACATAAACCATCAGGAGATTGAGAAGAGCAAGAAGCTGCAGGTGCGGGAGAAAGATTGCAAACAGATCACAGAAGAAGGTTTGGCAAAGAAGCGGAAGGAGCTCACCATGGACCATGACCGAATGCTTGCTGGCGATGACGGCCTTGCAGACAGCTCCTCTGCGTGTGTGGCTGGGAACCTGGTGCGAGGATCTGCTTCTTGCTCTGATTCGGTGGCAGCTGATGGCTCCTCTGCATTCCAGGGTCGCTTTCAAGAGGTGAATTGGAAGGAGTTGGAATGCTTGTCAAATGTTGCAGAGATCGCAACAGATGGCAATGAACCTGCTCCTAAAGTTTCTGAAGAAGCCCGGGCTGGAGATGGTGACGAAGAGTTGGGAGATGGAGCCAACAAGAGGGGAAAAGGCAAAGGCAAGGGAAAGAAGCAGGCATGGGACAAGGAAAGGATTGTGGCTGCGAAGATCCGCAGCGATCTTTCTGCCCTTGAGGATTTGGAAAGAAGCATCAACACCAAGAAGCAGGATGCAGAGAAAGTGACCAAGGAACTTGAGGAGAAGAGTGCAGAATGCAAAACTGAGGTGGCAGTCGAGCACAACCTTTTGGTACGTCGGCTTGCATTTGTTGACTTGGTTTTGGGTGCGGATAAATTTGCTTTGTCTCACAAGATTCGCAGCCTCAAGGAAGCGCAGTCGGCACAAGAGGAGACTGCAACGGTGCCGTCAAAGCCGGTGGCCGACATGCCTCCTACTTCGAGCTATGAATCGTTACTGACCATCGCGACTCTCCGCAAGAACATCCAGTCTTACTGGGGTTGCAATTCCTCTGCTGAGTTGTTTCTTGGATTTCATTTCATTGTTCATTGGTTATCGATATATATATATATATTTTATTTGATCATGTTTCTAGACATAGTTGTGCAGTCTGGAGCCTGGGGTTTCGCTTCCCTTGGCCTGTTGCAGCATGTCAGGCGTGAACAAGCCAAAGCTAGAACCGCTGAGCGGAAGCCCTTGGTAGAGCTAGCGTCTGCAACCCGAGTCGCCACTGCTGAGTTGAAGAAGGCAATCACTGCTTTTGGGGCTCGATTGTCCAAGCGAGTTCCATCAGCAGGTGCCGCAAAGTCCAAGAAGGATAAGGACAAGGACAGTTTGCCTTTGATCATTGAGATGGGCATGGAGAAGGGAAGCCAGATTTCCCACATGACCAAGTCCAAGCTCAGTGAGATTTTGTCCGACCCTGAGAAGGAAAAGAAGTTCATCGCAATGGGCAGTTGGAGCATGCCTTTCTTGATCAAGGCGGAGGAGGATCAGCAGCAAGTCTTCCATAGTGAGACCATGAAATCCGCCCTTCAGACCTTCAAGCACGCTATTTTGCGCACAAAGTTCAGCAGGACAGGGCAGGGCCCAGGGCCAGGGCTGATTTTCAAGTTTTTATTTCTCCAAACAGCGTTCTGTTCCATTCCATCATGAGTAGTACCTTCAGGTTCCTCCTGGTTCCGGCTGGGGTGCCGGTGCTTGTCTCGCTTCTTCTCTTCTTTGGTTCCGGTGCTTGTCTCCCTTCTTCTCTCTTCTTTCTTTTCTTAGGAAATGGGTTCTGTTCCATCATGATTTGCTGGTTCCTCCTGGTTCCGGCTGGGGTTCCCGTGCTCGTCTCTCTTCTTCTCTCTTCTTTGGTTCCGGTGCTTGTCTCCCTCCTTCTCTCTTCTTTCTTTTCTCAGGAAAGGGGTTCTGTTCCATCATGATTTGCTGGTTCCGGGTTCCGGTGCTCGTCTATCTTCTTCTCTCTTCTTTGGTTCCGGTGCTTGTCTCCCTTCTTCTCTCTTCTTTCTTTTCTTAGGAAAGGTGTTCTGTTCCATCATGATTTGCTGGTTCCTACTGGTTCCGGCTGGGGTTCCGGTTCCCTTTTTTCTATTTTCTTTCTTTTCTCAGGAAAGGGGCTCCATGAATTTTGAATTGCACATAACCTTGGTGGAAACATGCCTTGTTGGTGTAATTACATTATTATTTTTTTGGGTCTAATATTTGCAGCTGCTGTTTATCCAGCATGTTTTGCCGAGTAAAAGATTGTGTTATATGGGATGCGGCAAAGCCAGCTGACAAGAGAATGAAGACAAGAGCTGCCGCGAAGCTTCCGGCTGAAACAGTTGCCGAGACCGTTGAAGCTTTCAACAGCATCATTCCCTTGCAAGGTTTCTGCCACCTCCCAGATCTTGCATCGAGCGGTGTGCAGATCTTTGGTGTGTAGTCTGATGGGTTCATGTCAGGAGCTGAGCCAGATAATTTGGCTTCCCTTCGCTACTTGGTGCAAGGTTTCCGTTGCTTGGTGATGGCTTCCGCTGATTTCGTCATGAGCATGATGGCTGAGGCTCACATCCCAGCCTCGCAGATGACTCCCCAGAATTGTTGGAAATTCTTCATCAATTGCTCAGACTCCCAGATCCAGAGGTTGGTGGACAGTGATGAATTGTACGTCGTGACTCAAGGGCCCGATGATTTGCTGTACTTGCCTGCCGGCACTGGTCAGAACGTGGAGTTTGCACATACCTGACTTCAAGTGAGCAGAATGCAATAGCCATTATTAATTTGGCTGCATGGAATGAGACCACTGAACGCAGATCCGATGACCTTGCGGGCATTTCACCTATCATTCGAAATCGTGCTGCCTTGGTGACAGCACAGGGAGTCACCCGACCGTGATTGCCATGCTTGTGGGAAAAAATAGGGAACCTGTGCATCATCCATTTGAATCACAGAAAAGCCGTTTGATTTTTTTTTGTGGCAGTTTGTTTTTTGGAGAGATAGAAAGGCATGCGCTGTCATTGCTTTGCGAAGTTTCAATTTGTTTGGGAAATTTGAGAATTTGAGAATGAGATGAGAAAAGGTTTGAATGAAGCGAGAAGAAGAAAGGAGTAGATTCATCTCGGCGAACGACGGTGAACGGTTCACAGAGTTCACAGTCACAGTTCACACACACTGTTCACACTGAGTCACATGCGTATCCATTTATGGTATAGGCAGTCTATATAATCCTATATATATGCTTACGGTCAACGTGTTGATAGTGCATTAAATTACAGCTGTAGAAAAGTTTGCAAAAACTTTTAGCTTACCAGTCTTGCCTGAAATTAACAACGTGCTCTCCGTGTTTGCCAAACCTGGTGCACCATTTGCACAACTTGCAAAAACGAATAAACATGCCCGGCTCTTGGATATTGCCATTATCCAAACCGTGTCCCGAGTACAACATGCGTTGCAATGCCAGAACCGAAAACATGCCCGGCTCTTGGATGTCGAACTACGAATCCAAACCGTGTTGTGCCAAATAAAACCTGTTATTTCAACGTTGAACAAACTCTGTTTTCTGTTTAGGAGTTTACAGTGATGTCTTTGAAACAGCACTCTGACGGACATGTTGAAATGTGAAAACAGATGAATGTTTTTTCTCAAGTTGCCTTTTCGCTTCAAGGGAAAAAAATTAGCTCCCACCCGTTGTGCAACTTCCCACCCGTAGCCATTTTGGCTCAAGTTGCCTTTTCGCTTCAAGGGAAAAATTTTAGCTGGGGGATGCGTCGCCCGGTTCATCCCACTCACCGTGGTCAAACTGCAGTTGCGGGCCTTATTTGCCTTGGGCATTCATCATCCAGATTTCCAGTCAGATTCCCGTGGCGTACAGTCATTGTGATTTCCTTCAGTTTTGCTGCTGGTTTTTCTTCGTGTTTTATTTGGCTGCTTTACGGTTTTTAGGGGATGCAGAAAAATTCAGACGAAAACCCTGGTGGAGGACATCCCATTCCAGATGTTGCACTTGGTGATCAAACTCGTCAAACTCAACTTGATGACACTGGTTCTGTTTCAAACGATGTTGATGATGCCGCTCAATTCCTGTCAGGTTCATTTTTGTTTGGCAACGACGTTGATGATGGCGGCTTTGGAAGCGGACTACACTACGAGCCTGGTGCTTCAGAACCCAGTCCATCAGTTGTGCCCAGTGAATTTTTGGACAGTTGTGCATTGAATCCCACTGGAAACGTTGCAGATGTGGCCCAACCGACTGTTTCAACTGCAGTTTATAACTCTATTTTTGCCAGAAACCTTTTTAGTAATTGTGATGCTGCATGCATAAAGATGCCGCGGGAAGAAGGGATCTTCAAGGACATTTTCAGCGATGACATTTTGTCGGATGCCCTAGTTCCCAAGATGCCTGTTGCAAACCTTTGCAGTTTTGAGTTGGACGTGCCCCCATTGACAGTTGCTGAAACGTTGGCCAGTGTTGCAAACCCCGTTCCCAAACTGCCAGTTTTTGAGTCGTGTATTTCCAGCGGTGATGACCTTCATTTTCACTCGAAGCGTCAGCAGCTCAGGGACGTTGCCATAGGTAAGTTTCTCGTTGTGTTGCGCTGCAATCTGGAAGCAAGCGTCACTGGCAGACAGATTTTGGAAGAATGCGCTCATGAGCAGTCACAGCAGAGGGCCTACGACATTGTTGACGCTGTTTTGGGGGTCAAATCACCTGCAACCCTCATCAAGAGGGCAAATGCCTTGCTGGCTTTCTTGCGGTGGTGTGCCAGGGTTGGCAATACAGATGTGAACCCTTTCCAGGAACATGTTGTTTGGGATTATTTTCAACACCTCAGAAACTCCGATGCTCCTGCAACCAAAGCCGATACCATGTTGTCTTCTCTGAGATTTGCTTTGCATATTCTTGGTTTTTCTTGTCTTGCAGGCGCAGTTTGGAGCCGACGTTTGGTTGGTGCATGCGAGTTGATGCTCTCAGGAAAGAGGTTGCTTAAGCAAGCATTGGTTTTGACAGTGAAGCAAGTCATTTCCCTCCACACCATTTTGGAAGACGTTGAACGGCACATTGTGGACAGGGCGTTGGTGGCTTATTTGCTTTTTGCACTGTACGGCAGATGTAGGAATAGTGACCTCTTGGCAATTCACACCCTGACACCTGATTTTGGGGTTGAGGGTGGCTATGTGATTATCACCACGTGCAATCACAAGTCGGGAAGGATGGCTGCCTTGAAGACCAGGTTACTACCGATTGTCGTCCCTGCTAGGGGCGTCGATGGAAGCATTTGGACGTACACTGCTCTGAAGGTCACAACAAGGGTCTTCAACGAGGGGCCTCTCCTGCCTGCCCCTTCGAATGGTTTTGGTGACTTCATGCAACGTGGGTTGAGGTCCTCTGAAGTTTCCAAGATTCTCAGGACCTTTTTAGGTATCAGCAGTGATGTGAGACCTGACTCTGATGAGATTGTCTCGAGCCACAGCTTGAAAGCCACTTTGCTTGCTTGGGCAGCGCGTTTTGGCATGACCCCCCAGTCAAGGTCGCTTTTAGGTCGACACACTTCATGCCTCAATGAAACATTTGCCATCTATTCCAGAGACCTGGCCTGCGCCCCAGTTGCTGAACTGCAGAAAATGATTGATTCCATTCACGATGGTACATTTTCTCCTGATGGCGAGCGGTCCACGTTTTTCAGGGCCAGTGCAGAAGTTTCTGAGAAGGGCAAAGATGTGCAAGTGAAACTTGAGAGTCTTGGTGATGATGGTTTTATTTTGGTTTCAGATTCCGAATGCAATGGACCAGCTGGTGTGGCTGAAGCTGCAGTTGACAAAACGGCAGAACCCCCTGGTGATGATCTGGGTGGTAGCAGTTCGGACTCAGATTCGAGCAGTAGTGACGCTGGATCCTCAGATTGCTCTGATGTGGCATTGGCGCAACCGAGAGTGAAGAGGTTTAGGGCAAGAATCCCTTTGGATGAGAGTTGGCATGTTCATGCAAAATCCAACCTTGTGCATCGATTTAATGGTGATGTTCACAACGATGTGAAGTTCCTTGTGTGTGGCAAACGCTTGACTGCGTCCTACGTGCCTTGCTCGGAAGCAACAGCTTGGAACACTTTGTGCAAATCCTGCAACAGAAAGTGATTCGGCCAAAACCGGCCCTGGTTCACAAGGAGTGCAACTCGCAGTTAAAATGTTTTGCTGTGAACGCTGTTTGATATTCACCCCGCTTCGCGTGGGGTGGCCGCCCACACCGCAGGTTTATTTCGGTCCGTGAGAGGGGCTAAGGGTGGTTTTCCCCCGTGGGGGCTCCCCAAGCTAAGAATTTTAACTTTCCCCCCCCCGTGGGGGCTCCCCAAGCTAGGGAATTTTCACTTTTCCCCCCCGTGGGGGCTCCCCAAGCTAGGGAATTTTCACTTTTCCCCCCCGTGGGGGCTCCCCAAGTTAGGGAATTTTCACTTTTCCCCCCCGTGGGGGCTCCCCAAGCTAGGGAATTTTCACTTTTCCCCCCCGTGGGGGCTCCCCAAGCTAGGGAATTTTCACTTTTCCCCCCGTGGGGGCTTCCCAAGCTAGGGAATTTTCACTTTTCCCCCCCGTGGGGGCTCCCCAAGCTATGGAATTTTCACTTTTCCCTCCCTTGGAGGCTCTCCAAGCTGCGGAATTTCAAATAGCTAGACAACGACGCCTAGATAGTCCCCCAAATCCCGTGTTCTTTGAATGTGTTTCCATGTTTGCAATGGTTTCCTTCAAAGCACGGTACTTTACACTTTTGTCGCCATAAAACCGGTCGAAAACATCATGTTCGACAATGCTTCCAATTCCCTTATCTCCCCAACCGTTGAAAATACCGCTATTTACAGTGTTTTCTTCAATTTTTCCATGTTCCAATGCCGGTAGCCAAACTCCAACATATATATAAGAAATCCTTCCAAAACATTGTTTTTGACAGTGTTTTTCCAATGTTTCCAGTCAAACAGACGGTAATTTACACGTTTTTTGCCATAAAGGCAGTAAATCCTTCCAAAACATTGCTTTTGACAGTGTTTTTGTAATGTTTCCAGTCAAACATACGGTAATTTACACGTTTTTTGCTATAACGTCAGTCCAAAACACTTGTTTTTGCAGTGTTTTCAATGCTCTGGCATCCAAAAACCCTGCAAAATCTTGCTATGCACAATGTTTTTTTCATGTTTGGCCGTTTTTCCATTGCCGGAAAGCTACCAAAATGACCCAAAATTCCATTTCAATACCCTCTTGCGCTCAGACACCCAAAAATCCTCGAAAAATGTCGAAAACACCACCGTATTCTGGTCTCGGTGCGAAACCGTTTTTTGCCCCCCCCCAGCTAAAGCTGATATAGCGACTGCTATATTAACAAATGTCATTGAGCATTTAGTGTTGCTGTTGCCCCCCAATAAGCACGCCTTCCCCGCCAAAGCGGTGTGGGCGGATTTTTTTTTGTTCAGTGGACATGCATCCACTCTTGCTTGGAGGGTGTACTCCAACATTTGGCACGGCAAACCGCCTGGCCTTTACTTGGTTCAAGCTCAGCATGCACTTGAGCATGGGTATCTGTTGCACAACATGGTTCAATACTTTGCATAGGGCTCAAACCTTGCCTCGTTTGATGATAACCTTTTTATCCCCACCTTGCATGTCCAACCACCTGCTGCACTCTTAGGAGTAGTTTGAGCCCGTTGTCTGCCATGGCATCCATAGTTGACTCTGAAGCGCAATTTGACCTCAGGTTAGAACAGG